AGGTGGGAAGAAGTAGCAAATGGCTGTAAGACTTACTGTATGTAACACCCCCCCCATAAATAATAAATAAATATGCATATATGTATTTGCACATCTGCATTTGTGATAGGTACTTATATTTAGCTAACTGTGAAAATCACCCAATGATTTTCCCTCTCCTCTAGCTAGTTGTTCCCTGCCTCACTCGTATCGCCGCATATGTACTCTCCATCTAAATAAATACATCATACTCCAAAGCAAAATATTGATTTCACAAGGGAACCAAGAAAACTTTATCCAGTTCCTATCAAAAAGTACCCCAGTTGAAACGACGAGACAGGACATTTATAACAAGACACCGACACGAGAGCACATCCTTTAAATTTTCTCCAAGATGCTGTAATTCCTGCGTTTTCATTCAACAACATTTCTTGACAACAGAAACTAGGAGAAGAAGAAACATGCTTTCTTCTCTCCTTAAGGTACCAACCATACTTTGCACAACGTGTTCACAAGCAAACATTTTAAAGACTCCTGCTTTAAACTAGGGGAAACGGAGATTGCTCCCCCCCTTCTCCTTCTCCCAGTAACTCTTTGAAGACCAAGGACAAGCTACCCACTTGCGCTCCGGTTCGACATTTGGCTTGAGCGCCACAAGGTTCATTCCACTAAAGAAATTGTTCCTTAGTTCCCCTTCTCAGCTTTTGGTATATGTATATCAGTGCTTTGGCCTAGTAGTAATAACAATAACAGTATCAACAATAACAACAATAGAGAGTTGATCATATGGAGCTTTGGCTTTATAAGGAAAACCTTCAGTATAGCTTTCCCTATGCTGGTGCCCATAAAATGGGTTGGGCTATTATTCCCCTGCTGTCTGGAGAGGATGAGAGTTCTGATCCTACAATGTGGGGAGCACTAGGTTGCTACAATTGCTACAGAGCATTCTTTGTAGGAGAGCAATGTAGTAAATCCTACTTTCCCGTATTCCCTGTTGGCGTTGAATATTTCTTCCATATCCACAACTATGAGGCAAAAGGAGAGAAAGAGAACAAGAGAGCACTTTCTTTGCAAAAATGGAACGACTGAAAAACTGAGTGTTGGAAGATTCCCCCCCAGATAAAGGCAATGGGAGACCAAGTTTACAAGGACAACACACTTTGGAATAGTGTTTCCAAAGTGCCACAATAAAGATCTTTAAAAAAAAAAAAAATTCTTAAAACTTCCTTGTCAAATGCTATCTAAAATAGCTTTTCCCATAATTTTTTAGAGCAAGTCCATCAAAATATTAACTTTGTTTCACCTGAAATACTCTTTCATTCCAGTGGTCCTGTAGTCTTTAGTATGAGAAGAATCCACCTTTCGCCATGAAGTTGCACTAATTCATGCACAAATATATGGCTTTGGATATATCATGAATGTAACATCCCCTACACCCAGGAACGTTAAGTATTCCCTTTCTTTTTTCTTATTTCAATTCCAGAATTTATGAAGAGTCTTAAAGTTCATGCCAGGCATTTTTCAACTCATAATCATTCTTATAAATTGTAGATTGTGATGTTGGTATTATAGGTTCTTTTTACGGACTGCTTATGGAAATCAAAACTTTACTTCTGTAGGACACCTCTCTAATTTGCACAAAGAAGGAAATTAAAAACACAAGCCCATGCATCTTACTTAGAATGAAGAACAAGTTAATTCAATAAGATTTACTTTAACTATATTTAGAATTGCAGCCTTTTTTAAAAATAAAATCTCTCTAGCATGAAA